CCTATTCAAGTCAAACAAATCGCTTTATATGAGTTTACATAAAAGTTTACAGAATTAGGCCTCTTTAAGGACCTGCCTCCTGCCCCAATGTTATCTCTGAGGTCAGGTTTAAGGTCAGATTTCTGCATTCCATGCACACCCACAATTTTAAAGATATGATGAGGATGCACCAGGAAAAATTACAAGTGTAAGGATTTTGTAGAGTGCTTTCCACAAGAACAAATATTCTGTATTTTTGCCAACAATCACTCACATACAAGGAATAACATTTTTGCTTGAGCAAATAAAGCATGTATTTATTTGGCAAGTGTGAATACTTCCTTTCTTCCGCAACACAAAATGGAGGGATTCCCATAGAAATGAAGAAACGAGCACCAGTAAGCTAGCCTGCTGGCAAGAGAGAAGTAACATCAATATGATTTCTAAGCAATGGGGCAACTATGGCAATGGCAAGTGTACAGGATTGGGATGGAAGGTGGGGAACCAGTTGGTACGCAAAGAAAGAGTAGCCATGCCAGCTGAGATCACGGAAAAAACCTGACAGTGTTAGGATGGATAAAATAGTAAGTGCTGAACCTGTTAGCAAAGTATTTAGCAAAGATCAACATTTGTATAGTAATTCCAGGGTAATAAATTGATAAAATGCATCAAGCTACATTTAATAATTTAAACTAAACATTTCAGCAGTGGACAAAGCACGTTCTGGGCCATGCTGTGACCCTTCGTATCAGTTCTTTGCCATCCTGAATGCTGAGTCCTAGAAGCGCACTTGCTGGATGGCCTATTCAGAAGGCATATAAACAAGCCTGTGCTTTCTCTTCTTCCCTGAATTTCCCTTCATGCCTCTCTCACTTTTTAAATAGATTTTTGAAGCCTGCCAACTTGTTTGGCTACAGCCCATTAATCCATTAATCTGTTGTATTGCTAAAATGACACTTCCAGAAGCAACACTGCCTGCTCCCTACACAGAAGACTACTTCTGGAAGGATTGATCTAATGGTACATGCAATCCACTGAGCTGTTGCAGAAGAGGTAGGATAGAGATTTAAAACAATAACTGCTTGTATCGTATCCTTTTATTGTGCACCAAGATGAGTTTACCTAAAAAGGAAAGAAACAAGTTCACTATGAAAAGACATTGCCTTTTACACACACACTCATTCTTGGAAATGCTACTGCAACATGATAATTTTCTCATTTCCTATCTTTGCACAGGAACGTATGCTGCTGTGATAGCTAATTACTGTACAGGAAGTAGAGAAAGCAAATATTAAGTTCCCAGTTTAGCAAAGCAGCCAAGCACATAAGTTCTTTCTATTCAGCTAAACCCTTAAGCACTTGATTAACTTTAAGCACATGCTTAAGTCCCCATAATTTCAATAGGAATTTGAATCAATGGGGCTCAAGCATGTGCATAAGTGCTTTGCTGAATCAGGGCCTAAGGAAGGAAAGGCCAGAATACAGGAAAGAAAGAGGCAAACTGTATATCTAAACAGCACTTTACTCTTAATGCATTAAAATGCATACATTCCACAGAATCAAAGGTTATCCATCAACAGCAAAAACCACATGAGAGATCAAGACCCTGTCAGCACAAATACTCGTTGGAAGAATATATTCTAGCTTTATATGTAATCTGTGTCCTCTGATGGGCAACTGTGATCTGGATGAGGCCACAGATGTTAACCCTACTGTTGAAAAAGGGGAGTTAGGAAAAAGGGAGGCAGAAGGCTTGAACCTCCATTATAGATATTTTTCCTTATGAAAATAAATACCTCAAAAATTTACATACAGAATTATAGGGGAACATAAAATTGTGCTTCATATAGTGTTATTTGTACATGTGTTTATTTAACACCATCAATCAGATGGAAGTGTTGCATTTGCAGTTTGCAATGGGACAATGGATTAAACTGAGTCTTGGTATAAAAAGTTACAACTTCCATTGAGGCAAAGAATTGCACCGAGGCTCAATTTGGCCCAATAAGAATACTGGGCAGGGCTTAATGTTCATGTGTAATTATAGCTATTCACAAACTAGAATGTTTGTGAACTTTCCTGTTAGTCTTTGCAGCTTTTTTTCAAATCATTAGTAAAGCTTGAAAGAAAAACTAATGAAATAAAATTACATTGAATCAGCAGTTTTAACCCTGACTTCCAACTGGTTTATTTTTGGGTGTGAACTGTGGTAAAAGAGAAATTCCATTTTTTTTCAGAATTGGACCCAATTTGATTGCCAAAGGGAAAAAGAGGGAATTATAGTTATTCCCTGAGCAGACTGCAAAAGGATATGGGCAGGGCTGCAAGAAAATCATAAGCACAATTAAAAAAAAAACACCCCATTTTCTGTCATACTCCTATAGCACTGCAATTTTCTGGTACAACAAAAGCATAAAGAAAAATTACCACCTAAATCTGCACCACCATCATAGCACTGTGTAGTGCTACCTGTAAGTCACTGAACTAATGTCACAGCAAGGGAAAGAATAGCCACTCTCTCTCAAACCCTACCGGATGTTTCTCTCCACTTGAAATTCAGGCCAAGTAAGTATGTTAAGAGTGAGCCTTTAAGGAGGGGGGAAAAACCCACAGGGATATAGCAACTGAGTGGGTGCTGACATAAGTTTTGTTTTATTTCTGACAATGTTTGTGGGTTTTTTCTAAGCAACAATTCAATTATTCCCAAATGTGTGTGTGCTTCATTATAATGGTCTTTAATTTTATTTGTAATACTTTTTTTTCAAAGCAACTGGTAGCACCATGTTACCCTAGGGTGCTACAATCACAACTATGCATCTTTGGGGGCAAAAGTGACAACATGCCAAGGTTGAATGTCAGTGTTTCTTCAAAGTTACTTTTTAGCAATTTTGACAATAAGAACTTATCTGCAGTTTGTCATGATATGCTATCCACAAGGCATTACACAACTGTATTTTTTAAAGCCTGTTAATGTAGTCAGTGTTGACACTGCCCCTGCAGTATCTTCCAATGAAACAAGAGAGACTCACATCTATTTTTGGCAATTTCCTCTCATTATTAGAGGTCCAGTGCTGAATTAGTTATCTGCTTCACCTGCCTGCTCCCTTGTCCTATAATGCTAAATCAGAACAAAGGTTCTAGTTGTGTTCCCCATGACAAAAAACAGAATAAATTATGTCTTGCTTCTGTAGTTCCAGCAAGCTGGTTAATTGCATTTGTTTCATATACCTCCAAACAGCCTGGTACATTAATTACATTCTGTAACACCAAGCTCCTCTGGTTCCCTCTGTCACTTCCACTGAGTAGTTTAATTGTATTCCTTCTAGATACATACCATTTTTAAACACATACTAATATTTACATGTCTGTATTATGATGTTTACAGTTTTTATATTACACACACACACACTCTCTCTCTGCCTTGGTTGCCTTAGATTTGTAAATTGTGATAGGTTTCACAGGAAAAAATCCCATTCCTGTAACAAATGATGCTAGAGGTAGGTGTTTTATCAAAATCCTTTTATTGTGAGATGTTGCATACTGATTAGGATGTACATACCATATACAGAAACTTATTTTCTTATCAACAGGCCAAACTGTAGAGTCAATTGCAAGGCACATTATACAACTCCATGTGAAGCAATACTTTCTCATGTCTCCTGCTCTTAGCTTTGCATTTGTGTGTTTTGCCTACTGCCGTGCTGTTGGGCAGAGATACTCAAGTTGCCTATGCTGGCAAACAATTTCTACAGTAGGTAAGATGATATCACTGCATCTTCACAGAGAGGCCTCACTTTGATTCTGATATATTAAATGTTTTTAAGCAGCAGCTTCCTGCAACAAAGTTTGCTCCCACAGACAGGCAAAAATGGCCAGTGTCCCAGACCGTGAATTAATCTAGTGTCCAAAAGCTTGTTTAAAGTTAATATCCAAATGATCCAAATTAGACAGATAGAACAAACATTTGGTACCACTACATACCACACACATAGGACTTGTTGTAATATATGCATATGTTCTCCAGTAGTGTGCATACAAATACTGTATGTAACATACTATGTATTTCTGCACTGTGCAGCACAGCAGCAAACCATGCTTTTTTAAGTGCTTCAATCCTATCCTTTTACTAAAGTCTCTGGACTATTAAATTACAGTCTGCTTGCCATATAATGCTGATATAATCTTTTTTACCCCTCAGCTTCCTTCACTTGGCCACCACAACAAGCACTGTAACACAATCCCAAAAGAAACCCTCTCCAAAATGCTGCTGAGTTTAATCACAAAAAAATCCTGGGATAATTGGTAAAGATACAGAAACTGAACAAGAAGAAGAAGAAGAAGGAAAAAAAACCTAAGCAAGAGTATTTGCCTTGATAGACTAGGGGGAGACACTTACAGCACCTGGACAGAATCCTTTGAACACTCACATCAGAGTTGTTTCCTTCCCCCCCCCCAGTAGCAAGCCTGGCTTCCATACTGTACTTTTCTCCAGTAACACAACCCACTTGCACACTACTTTTGATAGCTTTCCCCTACACCACATCTTACAGTCAGATTTCACACCCTTTAATACATTCCCCTGCCTGCATCAGATTCAAACGGATTGTTTAGGAGCTCACAGCTGCAATTTTCTAATTCACCTCACTTGAATCCAAGGAACAGTTACCCTGTTTTAAATCAGTCTATTCTCTACCTAAAAGTTCAGATAGAGGACCAGGCAAAATAACAATAGCTGAAACACAGTGTTACCTCCAAGAGATTTACTACTGTGGGTTCTTCTCTTGCCTTTCTAGCTTAGACTGATATTTTTCCATTCATGACCATTAAGTTGGCAAACAGGAAGGATTGCTTATTGGAAACATATATGCTCCCCCAATTGCTATTTCTTTACCAGAAACAAACTTGATTAATATCCCATAACATTAACGCTAACTGCTATCATCCATGTGCTGTCCCCAATCAAATTCAGATGAAGAGAAATTCTGCAAAAAGAGATGACAGATTTTTTTTCTAGAACTTACCATAAACTTGAAAATATACAAATCCAAAGAGCAGGAGTGGCATCAGCAGACCCATTTTGACATATTAAAAGCAATCCAGATGGCTTGAGACACCAATCCCAGAGTGACACAAAAAAGTACCCAAAACCAAGAAGAGGTAGGTCCAAAAGTTTAGACTTTCCTAGCAGCTAATTAAAGTGAAGGGGGGAATCTTAAAAGCAAAAGCTGCAGATGGCAAGGTCTTGACGATGACACTTTTAGATCCATCCAGATTAGCAAAGAGAGCTCCAAAGGCTTCTGCTTTGCACACACAGCCTCCTAAATTCCCACCAATCCAGCTCAAGCAGAGGAATTATTCAAGTGTGTCTAAGACTCTCCTTAGGATCCATGGCAATCCAAAGCCAAGTTCTTTCTTCGGAAGACAAGAGGAAAATACTTTGAAAAAGGACCTGATTCCTAGAAAGTGTTCCACAAACTTCTCAGCACTTTGCAGGAAAAACATTGGTTGGGTTTGGCTATTCTGCCTCCCTCCCTCTCTCTCTAATCAGTTCAATCTGCAGAGTTCCTCTCCTAACTTCCTTCAGGGATGGTTAGGCAACATTCTGCAGCAGAGATTTCTTCCCTCAGCATCCCCCAAGATACTCCCCCCCAACTAGAAATAAAGAGCAAACTGCTTGAGCCTAGTAACTCCAACGTGCTGCTGCTGCTGCAGGAGGGTGTGAGCGGCAGGATTGCCGCTGCTGCCGCTGCCGTGCTGTTGTGAATGGGAAAGGCTCAGTGGAAAGAGCGGAGCTGGGCGGTGAGTGTGTGTCAGGCACAGCGTGAGTTTGTGTGTGAGCGCAGCACCCTCCCGCTGCAGCTCGCCCAGGCGGCCCCGGCAGCCAGACGTCCCAGTCCTCCTCCTCCTTTCTGCGGCGGCGGCCCCGCCGACTTGCAAAGAAGGGGAGGAGAATGAGAGCGGCTCCCAGTCTGCCTGGGGAAGGGAGGAGGTGGGGTGTGGACTAAACCGCTGTGCTCCACACCCACTCCTCGAGAGATGGGGGCGGCAATACCATTAGGCAGCTCTCGGTCCCTTTCTTTTCCACTCACCCTCCCCCCGGCGCACACACACACACTTGGGTACAGGGGGAATTTACATGATTGCTCCTCACTGCGTCCCGTTTAATGGGCAGGTAATTTTCTCGGTGAGTGATTTCCTGGAAGTATTCCCTAATGAGTCCTCCTCTCTCACGCACACACAGCGCCTTGGAGTGAACCCCATGGGTCCCCCCCCGATTTTTCTTCTGACCCCCACTCCCTGGGGAAAGGGCTACGGCCCCGCTTCCAAAACGAACCTGGCCTGACCCGCAAATGTGTATTGCTGGAGCATTTGTTCATTTCACAAAACACGACTGTCCCACTTTCCCAAGGTCTGGCCAAGACCTCGCTGGGGCTCTACTGCCCCCAGATGCCTCGGGGAGAGGGGAAAAGTTTAGCAGCTGATCCTACCTGGGATCCACTGGGCGTTAAAGGAGGGGAAGATATGAAACCCAACATGGTTCGGTCACGAAACTTTAAGGGGCGATAGGAGAATCTCAGCCAAAAGGGGGTGGAGGGAAGGCTACAGAAAACAGCATTTAGTAGGACCAGGGGTTGTGGGGGGGAAGAGATATAAAAGGCAAATTAAAGTAGGAACAGAAACCTGCATTGCGTAGAACACAAGGTGATCAGGTAAAGACACAGTTAGATCAAAGGGGTTTGATTATTTCCAGTGTCTTTAGTGTAAACAGTGTGGTTGAGACCACGTGTGATCACAGACTAGCTGGTAGCTATTTGATGTTTGCACTGATGATTAGACAGTGGGTTACAGGAACACACACAGGTCCCTGAGCCAAAAGGAAGGTTGGACGATGAATCTTTAGTTCCCCCTACTGGAACATAACAGGAAACAGCCTCTCTTTGCTACTTGAATATCCTCCCTTTTGTTTCGGTTTAGGCCTTTTGTGCTACCCGGTAATCTAGGATCGTGCTCTTTTGTACACACACTCACCTCTGTATAGCTACAGAGATAGTAGATTATTTACACAGACGTATATGTATATATCATATCTGACTAGAGGATAATTCTGTACACTAACATAATGCTGTTCTATTTACAGCACAGTGTACACACACCCCATGAAAATACTAGTGCTGAAGAACTAGAATAAAAAGTGTACTAAATTGTCATGGTACTCTGAAAGCCTTTTACACAGTGTGCAAAAGCTTGAAACTAATGTATTACTTTCCATTCATTTTTCAGTGAACATTGTACTGCAGAAATGAACACATTCATCTTGAATTTAGATAGCTGTTATGTTTGTAACAGGGATATTGAGGCTCAAGATTCTTTTAAAGAGCTACAATAGAAACCTGTTAAATGGGGGAGGGGAGAGAATTACTCTTGCTTCACCAAGATTAACAATGTGTCTTGTCATAAGGACTTTCTTACCTTCTTATGTATGTTTTGCCTTGGCACATGATACATTTGTTCTCTGAATACATCATATTTTTCATGTCAGTTTACTGTGGCATTTTCCTTTGAAATGTACTAGAATTTATTCTTTTAGTAAGTTTGTTCCTCATTTAAGGAACTACATTACATTTATGTAAATGATACACTGGAGCTTATTTAAATGAATACTTGTGAAATATGTATCTTTTACTGAGAGGTCCAAGTCTAGCTGGAGTTAGCTTTAAAAAGTCACAGATAGAATACAAACATCAAAATGGCAGTGTAAATGTATTTACAACATAAAGTGTATTGGTTGCCATCTGTAAACAAGCTATAGCTGTTGGATACAAACCTGTATGGCAACTCCAGCCTCTTTACGTAAACCAGGGAACTACATTATCCTATAATATGCCCTGCAGATAAATATATATTTTAATACATCTAAAGACTATTTTGTATAGGAGGCTATAATTAAAGCTAATTAGGGCAAGGTGATGAAAATGGTCTTCTTTGTCAATGTACTTCTGAATTGGCAATCCTGGAAAACCATCAATCACCTGTTTTACAGCAATATGTAGAACAAGACATGAAATATTAATCGATATTTTCCTTTGCAGTGGACATTTCAAGGATTCTATCAGTTAAAGTTACTGACTTGTTTATTATAGAAAATTTAAAATCAGAAATGGGCTTACACTGCTTTTCTAATAAATGCAAAATAATTATTTGAAATACACCAAATCACTTTATGGTGATTTGTATAGTTGATACAATCTTACAAACCCTTAGCCACACTGCTTATAATTTATTCACTGGAGCATTCCCATTGAAGTCAATAGACTACTTAATATAGGGAAGGTGGTACTACTGCTTTTTAAGATTGCCAAACATGTCCCATTATGAGACCCTGTTTAAACTTGGGCAAAGCTGGGGGTCAGTCTCAGTCTGAATTGTTTTAGAAATTTCAGCCAAAACGGTTCAGCAATTTCTAAGAACACATTTTGCCTATATTAAAAAATCCTGGCAACCAGTTGAGAAGCTCTGTTGCCACCATGGTTTGGAGAAGTGTCTTGAAATTTGGCAGGGAGTAGCCTTTGTGGCAGGGACGTTCCTTTTGCATTCCCTGTGAAAATCCACCTACATTTGGACAAGTTATAAATCCTTGAAAAAATTGCAGTTTGCCCGTCCTGTTTCAGCATGGGAAACATTCTAGATGACTTCCTGAGGAATCTTTCAGCCCTACGTGTCTATGAATCTGTGCTCAGCAGAGACATGCTAAGGTTTAGCAGGTTAATTCCCCCAAACAATCCATCTGTACTGGGCATGCTCCAGCATGGATTAGAGATTGCTGAGCAGGATTTCCCCTGCAATGGCAGTTCCTGTCTGGCCCAGGATGTGCCAGGTCTAGGTCCAGGCACTAGAAGTGAGATCACTTCTCTCTCCTGTGTTCTCAATGGTCCCCTGCTGGGCACAGGCAGTGAGAACAAGGAAACTGGCAGAATTGAACAGAGTTAGTTCAAGTAACAAGTGTGGGCAGTAGATCTAGTGGTTCTAACTTTACTGATGACCGATGTGGGTGATATTATGATACCACCTTATGAAATTTCTGTGTTGTCAGTTTGCTTTTTTAAAAACCTAGGAAATTACACAGAGAGAAATACATTCAAAGAACATTATTAAGTTTTCCAACTGAAGCACTCAAAAAACTTAGGAAATGACAGAATTAAGATTCCCTGCTGCATCCCCAAAGCAGGTCCTCCCGTACACTGAATACGGCAGGGGTCATGTTGAAAAAATAGTATGTGACCATGTAATTAAAGACAGTCTCAAGGGGCCTGAATTAAGATTCCACATGCAACCTTAATTCTGGCTTTTCCTACCTTTGAGTGTTCAACTTCACATAATAATGCTCTTTGAATCTATTTTTTAAAGTGTAATATCAGTAAAGATTTGCAGACTCCAATCCTATATTTAAAAGGTTCTCTTCACCCCCACTGAATTGCAGCCCCCTTTTGTGTGTCAGGCTAGTTAATAGCACAGCTCAGTATATCACACAGCAGTTTAGGACAGCACACGTGACCTTAGGCAAGCACTCACTCTCAGTTTTCCTTCTGCAAAAATCTCCCTATCATAGAATCATAGGACTGGAAGGGACCTCAAGAGGGCATCTACTCCAGTCCCCTGCACTCATGGCAGGACTAAGTATTATCTAGACCATCCCTAACAGGTGTTTGTCTAACCTGCTCTTAAAAATCTCCAATGATGATGATTCCACAACCTCCCTAGGCGATTTATTCCTGTGTTTAACCATCCTGACAGTTAGGAGGTTTTTCCTAATGTCCAAACTAAACCTCCCTTGCTACAATTCAACTCCACTGCTTGTTGTCCTATCCTCGGAGGTTAAGAACAATTTTTCTCCCTCCTCCTTGTAACGACCTTTTACGTACTTGAAAACTGTTATGTCCCCTCTCAGTCGTCTCTTTTTCAGACTAAACAAATCCAATTTTTTCCAATCTTCCAATCAAAAGCTTTACTAAAGTTAAGATATACCCCATCTACCGCTTCCCCCACATCCACAAGGTTTGCTACCCTGTCAAAGAAAGCTATCAGGTTGGTTTGACAAGATTTGTTCTTGGCAAATGCATGCTGTTACTTACCTTCTAGATGTTTGCAAATTCATTGTTTAATTATTTGCACCATTGTCTTTCCAGGTACAGAAGCGAGATATCCAGCAGAAACCACAGGGGAGAACTGAGGTAGGTAGCTCCCCAAAGTGGAATTTGGCCAAGACCACTCACACTGTTGCTGAACGTGGCATGAGATCTTCAATGTCCACAAGTGTCCAGGACATTATGTAACCCACACACCTCCTGGGTGTGGTGCTCTGTCCCATCTAGTGGAACCAAGACCACATAGAGAGAAATTAATAAGTCTGCTCTACAGCCTTAGCTAAGGGCTGTATGGATTTTAGCTCATGCAGTAAGCTCCAGAGATCCCACGTTCAATCCCAACAACCAGGGTCTGTCGGTGTTAAAATAACTCTTTAAATCTCATCTAAAAAATGGCTCACTGAACTGCATGCTGCCTTCCTGTGACTGTTCTCAATATTGGTTCATTATTGACTCAGCTATAGGCTTCACTCTGTATGTATGGTATGGAAGAGAGGTGAAAGGCATACAATGTGTGGAGGTTAGTCAGAGGGCCACACTGAAGGGAAAGTTCCATGAGTAGTATGCTCTGTCTCTGCATGAGTTCCTCTCCTCTTTGCAATCAGTGAAATGATGCTCCTCTTCATGCAGCTGAGGGCATCAAGTCAGTTAAGGGGTGTCAGGGACTATATTTTGCATGTTCCCCCTTTAGGTAGTCAGGATTTATAATTTATTTACC